GGGGGGGGGGGGGGCTCACGGAAGCCAGGAAATGTGAAATTTAACTTATTGTCAGCTTCGCATAGTTACAGTCGTTTGAATGTGCCACGTACAGTTAAAATGCCGGATGAGCCTTCGGACGTTCCCAAATTTTTCTGATAAAGTACGATTTTTCTGGGAAATTAGTGAATGTTCCTTTTTCCAATTTCTAGAGAACTTTCTTTGCAGTCAGATCTGCAATACCTAAAAAGTTAAGGGACACTATTCATAAGGTTCCTCCACAGTAAATATTCTGTCATGGGAAATTTGGCAACATTCAAATGCTCATAAAGTGTTTCTCCATAGTCCAGCAATTTTTTTGACACGGCGTGGCGTAGCGCAGGTTGGCGTCAATGCGCAATGTCGCACATTGGAGCAAGTGCGCTTAAAATACAGCGCGCCTTCAATATTTTCCTATGCAACACGGGCAATCGTAGAGCACGAATAGTGGTATCCACAAATCTATGGTAATTTGACACGGCGCAGGGCGGAGCCAACGCGTAATGTCGCACATCGACGGTGATATACTATTGATCGCGTATTTTGATTTGCAACGTTTCGGACTTCCTGTCATTCTTAATTTTTAAAATAGAGAACGACTCAACGTCAATTCTTGAAAACTTCCGTGAATTTTTCCACTCATAGAAGACTCTTTGAAAGCTTTAAGGAAAAATACTAATTTGCTTCCTTTTAAAGAAATAAATTGGGAGCGGAGATTTTCAAGCGCCTCAAACGAGATAGGTGAACTGGCAGTTTCACCGTCGACATTCGAGCCAGGGCGATTGAAACTAGTGCGCCTTCAATATTTCGAGATACTTCACGCACAACCGTCACACGGACAAAATACGGAACAAGCACATCGTTGCCAACTTGCATGAATCCGGTTATTCCGCACTAGTGAGGGCGACTCGTTGATAAGTTTCAATAAGTTGGTCGCTTAGATGAGCTGTTCTGCCGTACTAAGGAAAAACGTCGTATGAATCTTCAGGCGTTGCCAAATTTCTATTGATAAAACACGAATTTCCTGGTAAATTAATGAATATTTTCCAATCATTTTTTAAGACAATTTTGAGTGCAATTTCACCTAAAGTGTCTTGAAAGTTTCAAGGGAAAATATGCATGACTTTCCTCAAAAATAAAAATTTTATCGAAGGAAACGTGGCAACTCCAGAATGTTCATACGGCGTTTTTCCTCAACGCGGCAGTGTTAATTACTTAACACCCGGGAGAGATGACGAGCGTGTCGTCTGCAGTCTGCTTTGCAGGCGCTGACACGTCAATGAACGTTGCGAGTCCTGTACATCTTAAGCAAGTTTAAATTGAAAAGCATCCCGGATTTATAGGAGAACCTTCGAGCTGGCTTCTTGGAAATTTATAGCGGCACCAAAGAAGCGGAGTGGAGGAGCTAAAATTACGCCCAGCTCAATTCGCGCGACTGCAAGGTAATCCCGCTCTAATAAAAACGCACAAGAAAGACGGTTATTAACTTCTGAGAGAAAGGACCATGAGAAACGGCCAATCTCGGCCCGAGCAATCCGCATTACCAGCATTCGAGATGACTGATTTATGCGCTTTTCTCCGTCAATGCCGCCGGCCCTGCGTGCGTATGACGTTTTCTGCACCTTCTCGGGGTAATCAATTACCAAAAATATTTCTGCCGCCATCGTGAAGAGAAGCAGAAGTCATTTCCGCGAATTTAATTCAGGAGTCAAAATATGCACTGAAGGCGCCCACCTTTCTCGAGAGATTGTGACATCAGTATTATGTGTATTTCTCCTCATATTGCATGATTTCAACCCATCAAATGGACATATTTATGCTAAAAGGAACTATGCGCATAGGGTTTGCGTGTGATGTAGTTCCTTTTAGGATAAATACATCCAAATTATCATGGAGAAAAGACCTCCCTCTCTGAACTGACCGATCGCTAAGTTTTCACGGCCAATATATTTAGAAGCTGTTGCGCTTTGAATAAAATTGTTTTCTTTGACCGGTGTGGGCAACGTAGATTTATCTTTTCGCGAATGTTTGAATGCATTAATTTAATATAAACAATAAAAGCAGACCTCTCTTTTTCGACTCTGATATAAACAATAAACGATATCTTATTCCTCGAATTTGATAGAACTCTCCATGTGTGCGACGCATTTTGCATGAACTTAAAAGATGAGAGAATGAGTGCCGTGATGCTTCAATCGCGCTGTCTCATACTAAAAAGAACTATGCGCATGAATTAGGTAAATCAAAATTATCTGTCAGCCACTTGCGCATAGTTTCACTCACTCTACGCGCAAGTGAGTGAAAATATTTGATCTGTTTCTTGCGCGGGTCTCCAGAGAAAAAAAATTAATGAAAATCATCTGTATTCCTATAAGTTTTGCTTGATTCACAGCTCCGCTTGATTCAATATTCATTTGCGCACACATAACTTGGTTTATGTTTGCGCGAGGATTCGCGCTCCTCGGTATGTTTGCTGCCTAAGCGACGAAATTCAAGTATATAAAATCTATCGACAGAATCAAGAAAAAGAACAGGAGAGAGAGGAGGAATAAGAAGAAAAGAAGAATAGGAAGGAGAAGAGTACGAAGAGAGGAAAAACCGGAAGCAAAATACGAAAATGAAGATGAAGAAGAGGAAAAGGAGAGAAAGAAAGATGATTAACGA